CACTAGCATTCAAGTTCAAAAAAGTTATTTGCGATATTAAGAATTGCTGTTAATTTATTCAGTATAGCATTGATTGAAATACAATAAGCTAGACACATCTAACATTTCTTCATCTTTCACAGTTTCTTACTAAAATCTGCTTAAATCTGTGAAACTGTAAAGTTGTAGCATCATAATCAAATCAGTTCATCATTTATTGTACACATTTTTTGAAAAATTGTGATCCCAAACTTCTGAATAATGATTCCAAACTTTTGAACACTAGTGTATATAGACACATATAAATGATATACAGATATATAACTGTGCAAAAGTCTTAGGCAGCCATGCTAAAACCTCATCTCAGTAATGAGTGCAATTTTGCCAGTAAAAAAAAAAATATTAAGCTACAATAAATATAAATAATCATGAATATTGTAAAACAAAAGGCTTTTCTGGGATTTTTTAAGTTAATGATATGTATGTTAGAAGAATACAATTAGAAAAGCGCAGGTTTGGTTCCTGGCCTCTTGCTGCACCCGAGTCATTAGACAGATTTGGTCATTCCATCAGCAGCACCTGATGTAATCTAATGAAGGACTGATTCGCTGAAGCGGGTATTAACTGTAAAGACTAAACTTCCTTGAGCAGATTTGGAAATGGTTAAACTAACACAATCACACACAGAGAATCACAATGTACTGTTTATTTGTGTGTTCCAGCAGTGGTTCTTAAACCAGCCCTCAGGGACCCCCAGAAGGTCCACATATTGCTCCAACTTAACACAGGGAGAGAGCAAAAATGTGGACTGTCTGGAGGTCACTGAGGAGAAGCACTATTCTAAAGAATGTTTTTTTTCCGCCAAACAGCTGCCTAGACAAATCATCTTACACATAATTTTCTCTGTGCGCTATGAGTAATGGGAGTCTAACAGGCACTGTAGGTAACAAACAATGGTAGTCTACTTAGCTCCAGTGCAAAACTAAAGAAGCAGACTTAAGACACATTTGAGGTAAGGAGAAAAATGTGTAAATTCGATCTTTTATTGAGCTGTTCTTTACTGGTGTTCAACAGCACAGACAGTGAAAGAGTGAGAAGACTGTGTGCATGGCAGAGCACTCAATGATGGGGAGTTCTGTCTCTCTCCCTCTCTCTCTCATACACACTCAGGCTCTGCCTCTCTTCCTCACATACACATAATCAACACAATTAACTGGGACTGACTGGTCAACAGCTAAGTATCATTATCAGATGAGATTCTTCAGTGCTGTATCTAAACCAGCTGCCCCCCTCCATTTATTCTACCATTTATCAAATCCATTCACTCATATGTTCTACGCATACTCCGCAGACAAAGAGCTCGCTCTGCTACTGTATGTTCTGGAGCAGGAAATGAAAAACGACACAGTCTCTGCAGTGACTCTGAAACGAGAGAAACTTCTAGATCCTGTCAGAGCCAGGACTTTGCTGCTTACCTCCAGCAAGTTCCCATAGCAACACACTCAGATAAGAAGAGGCTTGCAGGAATGCCCACTAAAACACAAGCAGCTAGCTCCACCACTTTACTCAATTGTTAACTACAAGCAGATTAACACATAGTGGAACCAGTAAGAAGAAATCCCAGTCCACTTTCCCTTATCATGTCCAAAGAAAACACAGGAACATACAAAAGAAAGTGGCGATGAGGACAGTCAGCTGAAAGAGCAACTGCTCCCTGGTGGCAAGATCGGGAAGATTGTATGTGTATGTGTGAGAGAGCTAAGCCAGAACATACTGAGTACAATGGCGAGTGCATGGAATGTAATGAACTGACCTTTACAGAAATTTACACATGCACAGTACACCCCTCATACCAGAACATGAATGCAAATAGGCAAGTTTGTTTTCATGAATGAGTGTATTCGAAGAGACTGAAATTTCCAAGATGAACAATGAAAATTGGACAAAACTTTTGTGCGTTTGTTTGACCCTTAGAAATGGTAGTCTAAGGACGTACAATAATATTGGATTCATATCAGTGTCGGCACATAATTGCTTTAAAAAAGTGATTGGCATCAGAGAGATGTTAAGATTTGGCTGATATTTCTAAATGATAAATTACATTTAGTGTATTGTTTATTGACATATCTACAGTGCTAAAATGACTGCATTTTATTTGTTTTACTTTTACATTACACTTCATTCATTTTCTTTCATTTGTAACCCTATTGTTTTACTTTTCGATTAGATTTTATTCATTTTATTTAATTTGTAACCCTATTGTTTCACTTTTACATTACACTTTATTCACTGTATTTCATTTGTAACCCTATAAAAGTAAATATAATATTTATGTGTAATGCTAATTCAAATCAAGTCCTAATTTTAACATTTTATAAATCAGCATCGGCAGATATGTACATGAAAAATACCAGATATCAGCACTGACCCACAATTCCCGTATCGGTGCATCCTGTATCATAGTCATTGGCACCAATAACAAACGCATGTGAGCATAACTTTGCATATGCAAAAGTTTTAACACCCCCAGTCTATTTATGCTTTGTTGATTTTCTAAGTAGAAATAAGTTACACATCCTCTACAGAAAACACTGAGTTTAACACTGAAAAGAAACAAAATATAATAAAAGTTATGTGCCATGACTTTTGCACAGGCTACATTTTTATGTTTTATTTTTTTCCAGTACGTTAAATTTAGCAAGCAAACAGTAATTGTGTATTTAAATGTGTAGAAGTGTGTTGAAGGATGTGCAACTTATTTGTACTTATCTTTTGCATATGATTTTGTACTAATTATTTCTCACTTTTAGCTTATTGAAACAAGAGAAGTTCAGTCAAAAATGTGCACTCTAAACTTTCAATGAACACCATATTTGTGTTAAGTAAAAGAGGAGATTTTTATTATGATTTAGATAAAACATTATTGTTGGATATACATTCCTGTTGTGTGAAAAGAAAATATCTATAATCTTTTATATTTTTGTCTACCTTTTTTACTGACAGTGGATAAAATTAAAATGAAAAACATCACAAGCTCAGACTGGCAACTGCCAATAAAGAAAGTTAATCAAATGACATTACATAACTGACTATATAATAAATTATGTAATTACGTACTTACACATAAATAATTATGTAATGCGAATCAAACAGCAAAGCAACAATACTAACTCTAGACCTCTAAAGGTTAAACTTGTCTGTGGTGCTCAATCTCCATTACATCCTGCTCCAGCAAATATCAGATTTCCACAGTGTGCATTCTGGGGAAGGATCAAAGGATCCATCAATTATCCATGCTGTGGTGTGGTGAGGGGAGGTATTGGCAATAGTGTCAGTCTAAACTGTCAATGTTAAATCAAGTTTATTTTCATCAAAGCACTCTTACAGACCATATATAATCGGATTCCTTCTGCATACAAAACAAGCCAAGCTCTTCCCTCCTGTTTCGCATCTGAAACGCCAAAAAAGCTGCCATGTAGGCAAAAGCTGTTCCGCAGGCGGTCTTACGTCACCTACCTACCTAGCCTGCTCTCTGCAAAGCTGTCCACTCATTGCTGTTAAGTTTAGCTGGGTTCACAGTCTGAAAGGACCTGTGTTTAATCTCAATGTCCTAGAGAAAAGGTAGACTGTGAGAATGAAGCTGAGACTGCATGAACATCATGAGCAGCATCTGAGTCAAAAAACAGCCCGAGAGCAGGAAAACAGTATATAAGAGAGCTGTACCTGACAGAACTCCTGCTAGAAAGGTTTCAGTGAGGCTGGTGATAGCTTTGCCACTGGGAGGAAAGAGAGAGAGGGGACTCAGACTGACCTGGAGAGTGTGCATGAGCGTGCTGCAGTGACTCACAATGTCTTGAAATAGAGAAATGAGAAACAGAGACAGCCAGCGGCAGGTAGAGTTGTTCAGCACGCTGGATCTGCTTAGGCTACATATGAGGTGGGCTAAATCATGGCATTTTTATGTGCTCCAGGAATGGGGGGTTCTGTGCTTTCCTCACTTCTCGTAGCAATGCACTGAGTTCATTAACTACTATGCAATGCATTGTTCAGCAACTACATGGAAAGCAATACAAAAGCAAAACAAAATTAAAGAGTTATTGCTGTTATGTTATGGGATTTCAGAAGCCGAGATTTCAGACCCAGCTGCAAAATAAGAAACAGAAAAAAAAGACAGCAAAGACTGGTATAATTCCAAATGAGAATGAGTAGCAAAGTAAAAAATGTAATTATAAATATTTGTATAATTGTAAATATATGCATATTTGCAACAGTTTTTTTCCTTTTTATTTTTGAAATTTTGCTAATGGATTTTATTATTTTATTTAATAAATTACTGTTTTTATATTTGATTTTTTTTTGTTTAATAAAGGAGTTTGAAGTAATATGATAGCATTGTTGAAGTTTCAAAACATACTATTCATTCCACAGTCTACACAGTCCTTACATGGAAACTAAGCTACAAAAGCAGTCAATTTTAAATTGACGGTTTCTGTGATGTTATGAAAACCAACACATATACATGGATCCACCTAGTCAGTCTACAGCACTTCAGCTCCACCCATTTATTCCGAAGTTACAAGGAGTGCTTCAGCTCTGAGTGCCTTCTGAATGCGGCACAATACAGGACAGTCAGTCAGCTTAAATATCTTACATCAGTCTTAAAGGCACAGTGACAAAAACAACAACTGTTTAATTCTACAGGAATAAGAGAGGCTGTAACATGGTCATGTCAAATCGAATTATCACCAATTTTGGTATACAGAACCACACAAATGTTAAAAGTAGACCTCAGGGGAAAAAATAACATACAAGAAAAATGAAGGATGTGAGGGCCCTTATATATTTATATGTATGTATATATATGTATATATATACATATATATAGCCCTACTTTCTGTTATGCGATTCTTTGTTCTATGTAGTAAGCCTAAGTGTGAAAGTGAATGGAAGTGCCTGTGTGAGAGTGTGTGTATGAGTGCTTGTGTGTGCATAAACCTTCATCAGTGTGGACGTGTGTGTACCTGAGAGAAGCCGAGGTTTCTGCAGCCATTGCAGGGTGTGAGCGCCTCCCACAGGCCTGAGGGACCACACACCTTCTCCTCCTCCTCCACTGCTGGGGGCAACGGGGGAGAGGGCCGCTGTGACCAGGAAAGAGAAAGGAACCTGTTACTACCAACACACACACACATGCACACAGCATTTGAGGTTGTGAAAAAAACTGGGGCAGCTTTAGCGACAGAAAACAGTTACTTGATTTGAATGTGTACCTTTTTCCATAATAAAGGGAATTCCACAAAGATTCTGCATAATCAAGTGGTTAAGACAAGTTAACATGTTAAAGTCATTCAGAGTCAGAACAATTAGTCAGAATTATTCACAGCAGTGGTGATAGGAACCATTAAACGTCTCAAATGTTTACAGGGCTCATATGCAAAATTAAAATTTCTTTGCTTTTTCGAAATAAAAGAGTTTGATTTGATAAAGCATTTAACTCACTCCTCAGTCAATATATGAAAATTAAGCTGCTAAAACAGCCTAACAGTCTATTTCAAATACAACGTTTTCATGATATCACAAAAAAGGTGATGTAAACCTATTCACCCACAGCAGTTTAGTCCCGCCCATTAATGCTTAAGTTTTAAGAAGTGCTTTAAGTCAGACTGCTTTTTAAATGAGGCATAATGCAGGACAGCCAATCGGAAAAGAGGTCATTTACATATAACAGTCTTAAAGTGAGGTTGGAAAATGCTCATATAAAAATGAATTATGAAAAAAAAATTCTAAGTGGAAGTGAAAAATGTAGAATATGGACCCTTTAATGTTTGGGAAACGAGTGCCCAAATTTTTTGTCACAGGGGGCCAATGTTGTGGTGGGCCGAGGGCCATAATGACAAAACAGTATGTAGACAAAGAAGGTTTCTGTTTTAAAACATACGCTTCATTTTGCTTCTACATACTTCAAGTTATATATAGTATAAAAATATGTTCTCTCATTGGATGAAGGTGTGGGGTTAGGGTAACCTTAGGGCCACATCAAACATCTTCATGGGCCAACTTTGGGCAGCCTCACCTCACAAGTTACTGTTGATGTTGCCACCCCTGGTGCCTATTATCAACACCGTAATAATAAAAGTTTTTGTTTGTTTCTTTACAATGTTCATTTGTTTGTTTTTACAAGGCAACATTTCACATAAAAGTTCTCTGAATGTCTTTGTTTACATCTCAATGACTGAATTATTCAGAAATTGTAAAAAACAAGTGGAACTGCTCTTTAATAAAATTTATGACGTCAATACAATTATTCTTAAAATGAAGTATTAAAGAAAACAACAGTGTGTTGAAGTAATATATTTTATTCATGTGGAAAATGAGAAGTAGAGCTGATGTCCACTCTTCAAAAGAAGTGTCTTCTGTAACCTCGAAGCAAACTTGACTAGGTGTGACAGATATGATTAAAATTGATGCTGTTTGTGAATGTGCATGTATCTTGTGCACGCATTGATATAACGCTGAAGACTGATTTATTGAGCTGACACAAACAGTTTGGATGGTTGTACACACATTCCTTATGTGACTGTATATGTGTCCCAGTTATCGATCACAAAAGCTTAGCTCTGACTTCCTGTGGATGTGGTGATGAATGACCCTGCTAGTCATCACAGCTCCACTGAGGTCCAATCAACATTCCACCACACAGCATGGCAAAACTCCACAGTCCTGCCCGATCTGGCAGAGCACAAATACAAGTACAATTTAGAGCACATCCTCAGCTTTTAAGCATCTATTCATGCCGCAGTGTGGGCTCATTTCAAAAGAGAGCCTTTATTCCTGTTGCATGACATCAGTGATGAAATCTGGCACAACAGGAAAGGAACTGATTTTGCGCTATAAATAAGAATCCTGTGATTACATAAATTGAGGGATACCCAACATAGACGCTCGCACTTGGGTGAAGTCCGCTCTCTACTGGTCACACAGTGATAGTGCAAGCAGAGTGAGACCTGCGCTGCTTCAACAGTCCAGTACACGAGAATTCAACAGACCGGAATGTCACTGCTTATCAGTATCAGCCTCATGTGGCAAGTGGGCAGGAAACAAATGTACTAAACAAACACTTCCTTTTCTTAAGAAACTCTCCGGCGAGGCTAACTCTGCTGGAGAGATCCGGGAACTGTGGGTCAAGGTTATACTTCTGTAATGAGTCAAAACACCAGAGTAGCTCCTTAATCTAAAACATGCCGATACATCCCTTCTCAACACATTTCAAAGGGCTCAACAAATTTTAAAGGCCTCATATCATGGAAAATCAAATATCTTTCTAAAGGAGTTTAATGTTGGTACCATTACAAAAGAGTTCACTATCCAGTCAACACTGTCCACATATATAAACTGTAAAAAGGTGTAAAAATCAATCATTGTATATTCACCACAGATGTGAAGCCACAACCACAGATTTCTTTAAATGTCACATTCACCCATGCAACCTACTACAGTTTATGCTGCTCATTCTAGGGATGTGCACGGTTAATCAAGTACTTGGTTAACCAATCGAGGTGCCCGAATTCAAATACTGAAATTCTTAATGTGGGCGCTTTGCCAAGGATGCGTCATTAACGACGTGACAGCGCAGGTTTATTGCTTAATAGGCTGGACGATTAGGTCCAGAAACAGAATATGTTTCTCTGACACACTACTTTGCAGGCGTATTGTCCACTAAAGAGGAAAAAACACCTGTAGTAGACAATGAGTCTCCATCAGCATCCAGCGCTGTAGTGGGTTCCTATAGTTTTAGCTCGTTAGCTCATATGAAATTCCTTCTTTTTTTTCCTCTCCTCTTCTGTGGTTATCAGGATATCGTTCATGAACTCTTATGGATACTCGAATATCAAAATTAATCTGAATGCACATCCATAGACCATTCTCTTGAAGTGATAAGGATATCGTTACTGCAGACAACCAAGAGGAGAGTTCTTGGACAGCATGGTGTAGAAAAAAAGATTAAAGAATCCAGACAGTTGAAAGAAAGTCGCTGAAGCATACGTTTTTGACATCCCTTAAGATTTCAGTCTGAATTTGTACAGTTTGTTCTGTACATTTCAGCCCTCGACGCTTCAGTGAGGGAGAATACAGGTCAGCTGATCAGTCAGGCACAAAAACAATCTGTGTAATTCTAAGAGACGTGCAGGAAAAAAAGAAATAAAAAAAAAAAAGAAAAATGTAGAATATAGGCCCTTTCAACAAAACGTCCTCACAATTTGGCCTGATCTTCACCGTCAGCACTGAGAACACTATGCTGGTCTGGGAACAGTGAAGAGCTCTCCATGGCCGTGCTGCATTTACCTTGTTGATGCGAGTGAGGGTGCTGTTCCTCTCCTCGTCGGACAGCCGGCCGCTGCAGAAGCTCTCCACAGACTGTGAGTGTGAGGAGATGGTCTGACACAGCTCCTCAAAGGAGTAATCCCTGTCTCGGCACATCTTGATTTCATTCAGCAACTTCGACAATTCCCCTGTCACTGCATCATCTGGAGAGCGGGGGGTAAGAGGGGTCATGTGAGACCATTAGGAAATGTTAATTTGATGCCTAACAAGAGAACAGGAAGTGACAGATAAAAGCTCTCAAACACCACTTGTAAATGTGTCTGTGTGCATTTTGTTATTTAGTGAGCTTTGATGATTGGCTTCTCCTTCTCATTCACCTTCATCTCATCTCTCTCTCCTTCTCCACCTGTGCGTTCTCAATTTTCTTCTTTTTTGTCTCTTTTTCATTATTCGCTTAAGTCAAAAGGCCCACATTTTAATTCCTCACTCTCATAACTACATACATTACGGATTACTTTTACAGTACTTCTTGAATAATTCATAGTAGTTATTGAATAATAAGCCTTAAGATTAATGACTGAATAGTAAGCCTGGAATTTAAGGGGTTAAACAAAGAGGCTCAGTAAACTGTGCATCTGCTCTACTGAATGCTGAGTCGCACCTACGCTGTGTACTGATGCGTGCTAACATTTGTTTTGCCCAGGCACTCACTGAGGTTTGGCTGTAATTGAGATCATTAAGAAAATGCCACCGCAGCTCCGGTTAAAGGCCTCAATTCAGCAGTCCTCCTAACCACAGGAACTCCAGCCAGAGCTGCACTGCTCTACTATCTCCACAAGGGGCACCACTTGGTGAGCTATGAGTGACCACTCTACGCTGTACTTACACAGTCTGCAGTCTTTCTCCAACCTGATGTTTTCAATGTTCTCTAGATTACAACCATAAAATCTGCTCTAAACAAAGCTTTGTTAATGTTTTGTGATAAATACATCAACACTGTGCAAATTACAGTTGATAGTCTTTTCTTGTTCTTTTTGCCATTTAACAGCAACAGCAGCTATTTTTCATATACAGGCTGTATAATATGTATGTGAGATAAATCTACAGGTGGTCAGTAACACCAAATTGTTTCCCCACAGGTCAGATCCACACAGTAATAAAGTGCAGTACTCAGCTTGCCCGCTTGGTGCTGCTGTTACCTGTATTGTAATCTCAGCAAGAGCGACTACACAGGCTTTACTGAATCAGAACAACCTCACATACAGACACAAGCAAACACAATCTAGATTCTTCGCCGGAGAGATCTTGTTTATGACATCCACACTATCATGATTGGCTCAGCACAGTAACAAACAAAAGGGAGCACACAAGAAATTATAAATGCAAATGATTGTAACCTGTTTGAACCGAGTGTCTTACTGGCGATATATTCTGAGAATTTGGTGATAGTCCCTTAAACTCGTTTAAAGCTTATATGTTCACATTTCACCACTGTAAAATACATCAGCATGCAGAACTGGCACTTCACGTGTGCTACTGTTTTTTTCTATCACCGTATAAAAGATGCATGAGGCTTCCTTTAATGTTGGCTGCACTGTGATTTTTTTCTGATTGAGTGCCCAAGCTCATTCAGCACAATTTGGATTGGTTGGTACTTATTATTGTTTAGCAGAAATATTACATGTTGTTGTTCAATTTTTTTTTTTTTCTGAAAAATTTAAAATGTTTTTTAAAAAGCCAAAAAAATGAGTTTCAGCTTTGTTACATCAGATACATGCAACAGTCGCACTCGCACTTTGAAATCACATTATTAATAAAGAAGAGAAGACTAAAGATCAGAGACAGTCATGTTTTTGTGTGGGCCTTAAAGCGTTAATAAAGTAAATGGATAAATAAAGGAAAATTTATGATGACAAATGGCATATACAAGCAGTCAGTGTGGTCAGGACAGGTTCTGCATAGCCCCAAAAACAAAATAACAAAACAGCAGCAAAATAACAAACAGGACAAAAACTGCCCTCCACACTGAAAGACTGAAAAACAGTCACTGCCACCCCGATATTCATCTGCCCTTGATGAGGCTCCCATACACTCTCACTGCGCCTCCCTGCAGACAGCAAAGGCAAACCACACACATACATACAGACACTCATTCTTACTTTTATGTCTGAGTGACGGGGAGGCAGCAGGTGAGGGTATTGAGGTGCGAGGTGTGGGTACTGGACACTGACGAACCGGCTCCTCCGGGACACTGCCTCTGTCGCTCTCTGCCATCATAAACTCTGTACATGAACACAGTTAGTAAACAAAGGTATTCACACATTCACTGTAGCATGAGAAGACCACGCGTGCAGCTTAGCTGCAGATGCACCACTGCGAGCTAACACAAGGCATATTGGTTGGGGGCAACATAGGAAACACGCTGATATGACAATATTTATATGACAGTACAACTGTGTGTTCTATTAAACATCCAGCAAAGATTGAATAACAATATAGAAACATGATAAAACATGGCTCAAAATCCACTGATCAGACCTATATGAGAACTGTCTGAATGTGGTCTTAATATTCTAATGAGCATGCGTGATTGATATCCCACAGTCCAACAGTCCCAGCCTGCTATACTACAGTAGCACGACTAAACACAACAGCACGAGGGAGAAGTGAGTGCAACAAGCTCTACATATGCAGGTGGTACTGTAGACTCTCCCCACTGTGTCCAAAGCTCAGTAAAAACAATAGTCAGCTTTTATATGGTGACGTCTAAAAGAGGGTATGGTTCTTATTCACTTTACTGCTGAGGATGTTAGTGTGGTCAGTGGCACACAAATAAACGAATGGATAAATTAATGAATGGACAACTACACGGACAGATGGACAAATGAATGAAATTGAAAAAATTAATGGATGACAGGCAGACAGGCAGATGAGCCAGCTTGAAAACACCGGCTATGCTTGCTAGATTAGCATCCACTTGGTTGTTAGCTTTCTCTCGGGTAAGTTTCCCCAACTCGAACTGAGAGAAATAGACAGTAAGGAAGCACAGCTTTGTTAAAGTTGTGTCGGCAGGACAAACCACATCAGCCATGAGGTTGGTGAGGGTACTGCTTAGCGCTTCTCAAGATTAGGAAACGGTAAGCAATACTCTACAGTGAAAGAGGAGAGTGTTGGAAAACTTTCATTCATTGGACACTGGAAAGGTTATTCACAGGACATTGTTTATACATGTTTATCATGTACACACAAGAGCAAGATTAACCTACTTACAAAGAAAACACAGATTTAGGTTCCCTGGGGCTTTAGAGGTACAAATGTATAAGCTTCTGTTACTTGTTAGCTCCATTAGCATTGTAACTTCAGTGCAAATCTACCGAAGCAAAGTCCGGCACTGAATACGTCTTGGCTGTTCGACTACATTTTCGATAATGGAAAACTGTGTTCATTTGAATAATCACTGAACTCTACCTTTACAAATCACTGAATGCAACTAGCTGGTCTTGAGACACGCCTCTGGAGATCTCCTACAACCTAAACTGACCTCACAAACAGCAAGCAGCATTGTCTGCCAGGACCTGATCGGCAGCATGAAAATACTGCCACTGAAAACAGGAAATGAAACAAGACTGATCTTTTCTTTGATATTTGATATACTGCATATCAGTCTCCTGTGCCCATCCTATCTGATATTTACTCTGCTGAAATTTCTTTCATACGGTCCTCATCCTCACACCCTCTCACATAAACACAGCTTCTGCAGCAGTGACGACCACAGGATCAGCAAATGTTATAATCAACATCTCCACAGCTTCTCTAACTATAGCCCTGCACAGCCCATAGGACTTCTGTGGACACAACAATAGACTCCAAGACGCCTCATACACCAGAGATTAGAAAAACCATAGTCATTCATAATCAAGGAATTCCTGCAATTCCTAAAAGCCCATGTCTGAGGTGACTATGGCGTTCAGACAGGCTACTGGAGTGTCTTGTCTCTATTGTCTCAGATGATTAATAAAGCACACCCACATTTTAATCTAATGTCACTAAAATGGAGGTAAGACGAAAGACACACTCAATGTTCAAGAGGAGACTGACAGCAGAAACAAATTTAATAACAATCTTTCCATTCAGCCAAGGTTAAACTCAGCATGCATGATGTAAAAAGAAGTATAATACAGCTACATTAAGTAAGATTTGGGGATTTGGGGACCTCTCTGGTGGAAATGTGTAATTGCATGCAAAAGTGCAGAAGAACATTTTGTAACATTGGTTGTGCTCCGGGCCCCTTTCCCTGTATGATACTGTTATCAATAAAGATGGATAAAATTCAAGATTCAAGATTACTTCTACTGATCTTTGCCTTGATGCTACAAGGCTAAATATTCACTTTAACTATTCCTTTATTCACACTGACCTAAAACCCCTGAATTTGGAGTAATATCTGACAATAAGTAACTAGAGCTTTCTACCAATGGCCTTTTAAAAGCACTTACCATAGAATACAGCTTATGATCTCTTGCCAGCTACAGCAGCAAGTAGCAGGACGGTATCTGCCAGAGTTCTTTTACTGTCAGGCTGATTAGAAGCTCTGAGATTGCACTTGAGGATGAAAATTTCTTTCGTACTTTAATCTGCCATTGTTCTCCATCTAACACAAACATCCTCCAATAGCCGTTATCAATCAGCACACATCCGTCCTCAGAGACACGCCAGCAGCACACGCCTGCTCGTGTGTGAGTGTGTGTTTCTAGAGGGAGTGTTTTTTGGGGAGAGCACTTTCAGCTGCTGGTCAGATCATCCGCAGTGTAGCTTCTACACTAAAAGATTCTTGCTCATGAAAATGACATTTCTACATGCACATTTATAAATGTGGCATCAGCTGTGCGTGTGTGTGATGTGCACATTACCTTGTATGAGAGCAGTGATCTGTTGTGATTTCTGGGCTGGGTGTTCTTTCAGTATCTCTAAAGCAGTTTTTCCCTGGCTATCTGTGATGTTGACATCGATCCCTGAAAGAGAGAGCGAGACAGAAAGACAGAGAGAGAGAGAGAAACAGAAAGAGTAAGAGAGAGATAAAGAGAGACAGAGAAAGTCAGGGGACAACTAGGACAAATGTTCAGTGGGGTTGACCTCTGTCACAACAACACTCACCTACACCCCCAACACTTCCCTCACACTTTCACACTTCCTGAAGGTATGCGCGCACACACACACACACACACAGAATGATACACAAATACAAAAAGAAGTCTTCTACATGTGTGTTCATATGTCGTTTCGGTAAAACGGATCCTGGTGGGATTGCTCTGTTGCATGGTTCATCAGCAATACAAGGGTAAAACGAACCAAAGACACATAATCAGAAACCTAAACCCAGAATAAGTAAATATATATATTTCAACCTGTAAAAATACAATTACATTATTTTTGTTTTATTTAAAAAAAAACAAACGTTTTCTTAAATAAACTTTTCAAATCTGTGTTTGTTTGTCATGTACTGGATATCATTTTTATGTGTCAGTACCAAACAGTCACTACTGAAACATTTGGTAGAGTTATGACTGTTGTGATCAATGCTCGTTGTTCAATCATTTATTTCATTAAAAGAAACATATAAGTATATGGTCATTCAAAGCAAAATTATTTTAGTCTAAAGTCAAAAGTCTGAAATGGGTTTTGGACTCTGACTTTGAACCAATTCAGGACAATGACCCATATACCTTCACTGGTTCATGCAACAGTTCAGTTTCCTGACAAGTGGATGCGTATCATCATCTCTTCATGAGCTCTCAATCTGTAATTATAGAATAGCTTCGATTTTAAAAGGCTGAGGCACCTTCAACAATGTTGTAAAATACTCCATATGCACATATCTCTGGACGCAACAATTATATTATATATTAATGTGCCGTGTTTTCACCGTTTTATGAATGCAGTAAGAAACTCAAGGCTGTGTGTTTTCACAGTGATTTCAACATGCTTAGCACCATGGGAAAACCACAGTAATGTATCGCCTCTCATGGCTTATTGCTTATTGTGGGCTGCAGCCCCCCAGCAGGCATCTCGAAACACACATAAAACACTGCTCAGTTAAGCCAGAGGACAACAGGGGTCAGGAAGAACAATGAATATTATCTCAGTTGTACCAAAATGTATCCAAATGTACGTTATATTTCTGTTTAGATGTTTGTAGCTTGGGTCTCCTGGTCCAGACCAAAGCAGAATGTCATACATTGCTGCATTTCAGTTCTCGTTAGTTTAGCATTCACACAAATATATTTGACATAAAAGCAAAAGATGTAAACAACAGTCAAACAGATAAAAAGTCACAGCTTATTGGGCAAATTATGAGCACCCAGCAACTATAACTAGGATAAAATCCAAAAACTTCCTGAACTACATATAATTTACATATTCTGTCATATGTGCCTGTGTGCACTGTGTATTTTATGATGGCTTTGAATGTGCCTCCACCAATTTTAAAAACGTAACCATCCGATCTGTAATACCAAATCAGATAGATAATCAACAAGCATGCATCAAACAGCATCAAAAGCTTATTTTTTGTACCTACAAAAGAAGGTGTGCAGAGACGACATAACGGTTTATTCTGTGTTTGTACGCACAGACATTTCTTGTCTGTTTTGCGATCATACTTCAGTCCGCTTACTTGGTCCATACCAGAGCTTGACTGGCATGTGACACCTGCTGTAATGAACCGCACTAACAGAGCAATTTCACCAGGATGTGCCGAGTGTGGAAACACTCTAAGAAGTGTTAAATGCAGGTTTAGGAGCAGTCGATTTGAGTGAAAGTCAGTAATGATTATGCATGATTCCTTACATGACTACTCTGTGGGCCTTCACAACATACAGAACAAAGTGTTAGCTCGCCAACACTGCATTATGGGAGACGGAGAGGTGTCACTTCAAATACATGATAAAAACTCAATTCAGTCCTGAACTTCAACAAATATGAGAAAAGAGATTTTTTCTCAATAATACGACCACAAAGCCCATTCTCTAACACAGGAAGCTCCACAGTCTCCCACTTCCTGTTCCGCAGATGGCTCTGAGAGGGAAGCTGCAAGGTCATAAAGGGAGTGTGTGTGGAACCTCACTGCACACACACACACACACACCCCACATTGTAAAGAACTGATGTAAATTTACAGCAGAAACGCTGCAGGAATAATACTGCAAAAAACGTTCCAGTCTGGGAGATACAGCTTAGGCATCACCTACAGCAATTAGCCATTACTTGCAAAGCATATTGTGAAAGTAAGTGGATCTTTGCGCAGTCTTGAGCAGCCTGCCTCTGAATACTGTAGCGAGGCGTGGAGCTTCACCTTTTGGTTTCATTATTTTTTGTAAATTAGCTTTTGTTGTTTCATACACAGCTCATTTTTTCTCATGTAATTCTTACCTTAAACATACATCTGAATGTATTTTACATGTTTTGTTACATATAAGTTAAAAGATATTTGGTTACTGCAATCTTTGCCGTCTTAAAGGCTGATATAAATTCATGTAAGTGCTATAATGACGATGTCCAATTCAGGTTGTGATTGATAAACAGTCCTATGCTTACACTGTTGCGAAAAACAGTGTGATGATTCTTTTAACTATGTAAGAGCACATAAGAATGATCATGACAACTCACTATAGGGCACAATACAGTGATACAATGGTAGCAAGACAGACTGAACTGGTAAGCACCATCATGGCATGTATTACAAAAACCTAGAAAATAATTCTAAACCTAACCTTTAGCATGAGAATTGCATGTTATTATGTAAAAAAACATTTTTTAATGAGGAGGACTGATAAAAAAAGAACTATGGGCCACATTCACGAAAATCTTCCTAAGTTTTTTGTTAAATTTGTTTTTGAGAAAGCTTGTGTACAAAAAAGAAAAAGTGTACGTCAGATTCATGATGTGTTCTTAAACTGCAGAACTGTTCACATCTTTGTGCTCTTGAGTGTGTAGATTCTGTTTTTACCTAAGAACAAATCCCAAATAAGAAAACATTAGTGAATATCAGATTCTTCGTAAAACTGCGTAATCGGGTTTTAAGAAGAAATTTCCTCTTAAGAAAGGTTGGCGAATGAGGCCCAATAAGAGGTGATAAACAGATTAACCAAATGTGCAAAGAATTCTGGGTACCCCCTCCCTCAATACTATAGTGCATTATTTAAGACTGTGAGTTTCGACTGATTCATTGAACTTAAGAAGTGTAACAATTTAGTAAAAGCACTGTTTAGCTAAAACTATTAGTTAAATAAAGAAAAGAAAAATTACACTGGTCAATATTATCAGTTACTGGATTTCTTAGCTCCCTAAAATCAGTATCAGTGCTGTAAGGAAGAAAGAAAATTACTGAAGAAATTACTTTTTTTTACTGTGACAGAAAACACCCCACTTTTACACACACACATCTGTACCAGGTACACAGAAATACCCCATTATGAGGCACACACACACACACACACACACACACACACACACACACACAGAAGTACACGGTGCTATGTTGAAAGTTTGCGTGGCTGCCAGTCCAGATGGAGAGGAGGAACAACATACCTGAGTCAAGCAGGAGCCGAACTACATCCATTTTACCATAGAGAGCAGCTTCATGAAGAGCACTGCCTTTCTCCGTCTGAGAGAAAGAGAGAGAGAAAGAGAGAGCAGTCAATAACCCAGAAACAAACACAAACATATACACAAGCCCGGCAGAGCGAGACAGAGAATATGATGCTGCAATGTTATTACTGCTCCTAGAAAAAAAGGTGGGTTTTTACAATCTATCAGTGAAACAAACTCATCCTCTGGGACAATTCCCACAGTAATTTAAACTACAGTACACCTGCTTTGGCTCTGGTGAAATCTGTCAATTTGTCATTTTACACAATTATGCACAACAGCATCATGATTAAAAAGTTACAGAACTGAGTGATGAGCAGGGGGGAAGGGAGTGGAGTGCTGGATAGAGAGAACAGGAAAGCAATGAAGAGGAAGAGGGGGAGGGCAGGAGAGGGAGTGAGAGAGGGAGGAAGACCCGGAGAGACAAAAAGATTGTGTAACAGAGCTCCATACACTGTTGAGCAGGAGCATTTTAATAAACTGCTGGGGGAGTGCACGCAATATTCAGCTTTACTGAGAACATGTCCCACTGGCCTTCATTAAATCAAAGACTATGCTATCCTGCCCCCTGCAGCACAGAATCTCACCCTATAGATCCATAGCGCACTACAATAAGATGTACTTCTGCAGTGGATGCATAACACCTGTGGCACAGCAAGCATTTCAGCCCACTATGAACATGCATATTTCAGAATGTTACCATAAGTAAATCATTAAGACGTAAACAAACTCATTTAGAGTGGTTTGCTGTGGAATGCTCATAATCGTTCACGGTGGCAGTAATGGGAACCAGACGTCTGAAGCATGTCTCTAAAAGCTCCCTCACAGAAACCTGTTAATGAAATAGTTACGAATGTGTTGCCGGATGCCTGAGACACTGTTTCACAACAGTCCTAACAAAGTTTTGCTCTAAAACAGAAGCCACATGTGGGTTAAACAGCCATTTTTGACAGTACATTAAAAGTAGATAGCAAATAAAAAAGGCTATATTTGCACTCTAACATTGTGACCCCTGGTTCCTATCACCACCACTGTAAAGAAATCTGAACTGAACACTGTGAATGACTTTGTCTGCATCTCAAGGACAGAATTTTGTACAAATTTTGAAAAACTGGTGTAGTTCCTCTTTAAGATATTTATTATACATATTTCAATTCCATCCATATTTGAGATTTATGAGCCAGGTTCCCTTGGATGCATCTGGACTGCTCTCACTTCCACCCAGTTGTTTAAACCCACCATCACCACTGAAACCTTTTAACAAGTCAAACACTGTGCAAAGGTCTTCGTTATCATTAACAAGAAGTGTATTTGATCATTTGATTTTAATTAGTTTAATTAGATTATTTGATATTAATTAGTTCTCACATAGTTCATTTAAACAAGTGGAAAAAATCTGTTGAAAAAGCAGATTTAAAACTTTTAAACAAGTCCCATTTGTGTTTTAAAGTCAAAGAGAAGATGTTTTATGATGATTTAAAATTGATAAAAAGCAGAAAGGCACCAACATGGGAACTGCAGGTCGATGCCAATAACAAATATTTTTCATACTGATAAATAAACATTTATACCATTTATTTATAGATTTAATTAATAAAATGCAGACATTTTAGCACAGTGACACCACGGTGCCTAAATGTTATTCTCTTCAGCAGTACAATAAGCATGTCATCAATTATCGATTTAAAATTTTAAAATTTAAACATGTCTTCCTCTTCACTGCTTTCCTGCTCTCTCTATCCAGCACACTATGTTCTCCACCCCCTTCCCCCTGCTCGTTTCTCAGTTCCGTAACTTTTTAATTAATTTCCTGCAGATACCGATATGTGCTGATATAATCCCTAAAGAAACGCTTACTGTTATGCATTAGGGTCGTAGTACTCGAATCCAGTCTTGAGTGCATAAAGTATAAATTAACAATCTCTGTCTCAGCTTGGGTAGGTCTCAACATTATTCTGACTCACCCTTGTCTCGGTCTTGTGGTAAGGTGGACTCTGAAGTTGTTTTCGAGACCAGCTGAGTGCAACATCTCTGTCTGAGGTAACTAAAAACCAGTTTTTTTCTATCATTACTGAATATCAACAAAATCCTCAAATGGAATAAAACATTTCTTTCACTCAAACTCTTAATGTGGTCTTGATCTTGTCTTGGTCTCGCCACTCCTGGTTTCAGTCTTGTCTCGGACTCAACTCTAGTGGTCTTGACTACAACACTATTGTGCACACAGTCTTCTTTTGAGAAAAGAGAACCCTCCTTTACATTTGCCATACTTGACATTATAGAGTGAAATAAAATCAGAAGCGCAGACTTAAACCTGTCAGAATGGAATCAAATGCCATGTAATTAATTACACAGAAACAGTGACGTTGTGTGAATCAAATTTATGAATGAAAAAATGACAATAAATGAAGATGTCTAAGGGTTATACTTCAAGCATCAGTTTGGTTACAGCTGTAAGACTTGCGTGGACATCTAAACATTTTGACCAACATTTCCACAGAGAGTGCTATAATACTAAACCATGCGATACAGCTGGCACTGCACACCACTACACAGGTGTGCTGAGGCCACAGGCAGAGCTGCTAAGATTTATAACACCTCTGTGGTGTTTTGCAATATTGATTGGGTAAACCTATTCAGATGCATCACCACACTTCTAAGAAGTAGCTGGACTTCACTGGTCCAATTCTAGTCCAGTAGAACCCTCAACAGTGTACTGAGAAGACACTGAAAATCCACTCAGTCTTTCAACCGTGCTCAGAGACCCAGAGGCCATACATAAAGCATAAAGGCCAATCTTTTTTGAACGCTCTTCTGCAGCTCTATGTCTTCACACAGTGCACAGAGAGCAGACCCAGCACTCACACAGGCTGAAGAGACTAATCCGTACTTACATTTCAAAAAGTGCACCTTCACTCAGTGTGAAACGTCTCAGACCCAAAGGCAATATTCTGGGGGCTCAAATGGCGCAAAGAAAATCCAGAGCAATCGCACGAAAACGCCTCTTCTAGAGCAGGAGCAAATCCAAATGTAGCGCAGTCAGATCGCTACAGGCGGTGGCCGTGGCTCCAGGGATGAAGCTCAAAGACACAACAATGTGTGCGGAGGCTGTGTTAGGCTCCAGCCTTCTCCACAATGTTCCTCCGGATCTGGATGAGCACTGAGCGCGCTCACGGTAAGAGAGGAAGTGAACGCCCCCGTCACTGAGGGCCACTTCCAGTCCTGTTTCCCAGGGCGATTAGCTTGTGATATCACTGGAGAAAGGAAATCAATTCTCTCTCACTGGGCTTCCAGGAACTAAAGAGCCTTCCCATATCTCTGTTTCTCTCTCTGTCTTACTTTCTGCCTCCGTCTGTCTTTCGCTTTTAAACTTACCTGTTTATTTGTACCTTCTAGACAGTACTGTGTAAAAGTCTTAGACCAGTGAAGAAAATGTTCATAGCTCTTTATCTGGACAGTAAGAGTATTATTTAACATTAGGATAAAAAATAAATATAAATATGACAACAAATAACAAGAATTTTATATCAGTAAAAGTACTGATATCTTGTCAGTAGAAGTCAGTAAAATTATTGATATCTTGTGAAATAATTAGAGCTTTAAGTTTAGTTCTTCACCTCTTTTAGGTTCCTCAGCCACCGCGCACGCTAAAGAGGAATTCCACCACTTTTTAAACATTTCGGAATAATTCAGTACTTGCGATGCAAACAGAGTTATTCAGAGTGGTTTGATATGAAATGGTTCATTGTAGAGAAACTTACCAACTTCAGATTTCTTTGGTGATAGGAACCAGGGGTCACAATGTCTACAACACAAATATAGCCATTTTACTTACTATCCCTAACCACCAGTGAACCTACATGTGTCCTCTATGTTTTTATATGTAATGTTGATGGTAATAAAATAGTCATAAATTTAAAAAAAGCTGTTTTCTTCTGGGACTATTTTGCCTTACAACGCCCTGCAGTTGTATCGTGTACACCTCCACCATGAATGGATTAAAATAAATGGATTTAAATACATTTTAAGCCAAAGCTTTATCACAAAACTATCATAAAGCAAGGTGTCAAACGTCAGGCAGCATATATCTAACCATTTCATGTAATAACATTTTATGAGAGCGCTTTCAGAGGCATTAAACTTTTCAGATGTCTGGTTCCTATCACCACCACTATAAACAATTCAGACTCGGTACCCACAGCAGAGCATTTCACATCAAACCACTCTGAATGACTCTGTTTACATCTTAACCATTTAATTGTGCAGAATTTTTGAAAAATTGGTGGCGTTCTCCTATGAGTATAAATTAATAAACTACAAAAGTTTCAATGTGGCAAATTTTCATGATGAATGGACTACTAAATAGTCTAAAATAACTTTGAATAAAATCAAGCTATACTAACATGCACTGAAATGTAAGAATGTTTCTCTTGTAAAGTTATTTTTTTGGGGGAAATGAGATTTTGTTCCGACAGTGACAATCTAATTCTCTCAGCCTAAGATTTTTAGACAGTACTGTATGACTGGTCTAACAACAGCTATGCAATAGGCCTCTGATTTGGGGAAAGAGTATATTTTACATACAAGCAAGCAGCAGAAAGTGGGATTTCCTGACTTCTTCCTTCATGAATGGAGGGAACACCGAACTCAACTCCACAGTGAAATCGTCCCAAACCTGGATCAATGCATATGTGCATGTGTGAGTGTTACTAACGTGGCCTGCTCTGCCTGAGCCTGTGCGAGTGTGTTTCACTGACAGAGAGAGAGCGGAGAGGAGAGATAGGCTGGGTGGAGTCAAGGGAGAGAAAGCACTGCAAATGCATCATACATAATTCATTCACATTTAGACAGAGAAGGGGTTTTTATTTGCAATTATTTCCCATGTGCAAACTCATGTTTGTACACATACACACACACCCAAATAACTCCCACAAACTGCAAAAGGACCGTCAAACTTTGCACTTTGTGTCACATATCGTATCAGTGCAGTATCGCATCCTCATCCTGTTTTTACAG